GAAAAAGCCGAGTAAGAAAGTAGAACCTAGTCCGGTTTTCTTAAGCAATAGTCCACACTTTCTATGGGTTTATTGCAGGCGTGATAACTCACGCGGAATATTGAGAGAACACGAGAAGAGCTTGTAAATCACGAGACGAAGGTGAGTGATTTACAAGCTTTCCTCGTGTTCTCCCAACATCCCAAGTGGGTTATTACGCCGGTAAACCCATAGAAAGTATGGTCTATTGCTTTTATAAAATAACTTTAAGTAAAACGGAGTCGTTTGTTTTTTCTATGAGTTTACCGGCACAATAAACCATAGGTTTTTAACCAATCAGAACGCGCGTACTATCTTAGTTAATTTATTTAACAAATAGATTCAATGTTGCCGTGCATCTGTTCAGTAATCGATCACAGAAGACGTCAAAATGTGGTAAAAACATCAGTGACACACTCGCCTGCGGCTCGTGTGTCACTTCTTTGTTTTTACCACATTTTGACGTCATCTGTGATCTATTACCGAACAGACGCACAGCAACATAGAATCTATTTGTTAATTATACAATAATGTGAATACTACGCGCGCTGTGATTGGTCGTTGCCCATGATCTATCAGAGGACAGAAAAATGGATGACGTCACGGAAAACTTGTTTTGATTGTTTTTTTCAACGTGGCGCGCGGTTTTGAAAATGTTTGTGAGATTATTTCGGATTAAGGCAAGTGAAAGCCTAAAAAAACTTAGCAGGAGCTGTTTCCGTGACGTCATCCATGTATCTGTCCTCTGATAGATCATGGGCAACGACCAATCACAGCGCGCGTAGTATTCACATCATTGTATAAAATGTTATATACCTATGTTATTTTAACTGTTTATATATTTACTGAAATGACAACTTGAAGGCAATTAGCCTATCCGCTGTGTGAAATGGTCAATCGGTTGCAGAGCGAAACTGCCCAAATCGCTGGTGTCCTCATAGTTAACAAAACTATGAGCGACTGAGTTAATTTCGCAAACTTGACCTAGTTTTAAGACCTATACGTTAGTGTAATAACTTCATTCTGTGATGATTACTTTGATCAATAGTTATACCGCATGAAAAAGTAATAATGCATGACCTGTCGATATTTTAATGGTTAATACATGAAGGCAGAAGAAAAAATTTTCAACTTGAAAGGAATTCCTTCAATGGCCGGTCAGACTCATTATTTACCCTGGCGTCACACCTTGTAAAGTTTGGGTTGCGATCGACTGCGATTTCGACGGCAAACTTAATTTAGCCTGGCCAAACTTCAACTGTTTTTTACATTTTCGGCTTCTCCAACCGTGAAGATTGTCTAAGTAGCAAATATCCCACCGAAAATAACAAAATAACTTCGGGTTTTCTCGAGTTAAACGTACAATTTTTGCCACTTAGTTAGTTAAGGGTTCCTGAAAAGTACAGTGTCCAAATGGTGGGTAATAAACTGAGTATCGAGGAAATATTCCCGAATGAACATTTCAGGGGTGTAGCTTACAGTACGCCAGTATTCAAGTGCGTTCCCGTGAAAAAAAATGTCGACGATAAATAAAAGCCAACTGACAAAATAGAAAAACAAAGCACAGGAACTGCAGATAAATAGGGGATAGTTGGCGAATGGAGGAGATGCCCATGTAATTTCCTTTAGGGAACACTGTCAAAACAAAACGAGGCGTTTTTCCCGATTTTTTCACTGGCGACAATTGGCTTCTGCCTGAAAAACACTTACTTCGGCATACTGATACAAAATTAAATTAATGAAGTCAGCCGCGTAAAACCGATTTGGGAGATTAAGCAAGGTTTATCTGGAAAACTTTGCCTAGCTCCCAAGTAATATTTAGGTACGCTCCTGCATGTATTTTACAGGCATTCAGAGGATTGTCTGATTGTGATGCATATTCTTACGGCCATCCGGCTTACCATTGTGGTTTACGTTGGGAAATTAAAAGGTATCTTTTAACAAAACGCGACTCAATTTAATGCCAATTTCCCCAAGCAAACAATAGCTGGGAAAGGAGGCAAAATCCAAGAATATTTTTTTCCCCACGATTCTTACTGGATAACTGTTCCATTTAAAGCCAAATTTCCCGCAACGTCCATGTTTTCGACACCCGATACTACTTGTCAGGAAAATATATATTTATTTGATGTTCAGAATAAAATGTCTAACATCATGTTTAAATACGTAATTTGCTTGCTGATTTAGGTTCCTTTTTGTGTGTTTAACTACTTAACACGTAAACGTGGTAGTGGGTTTAATACCTCTCTTCAATTAACTACCGTTTCTCTATTATTAAGCGTGTCTCCTTTTGAAAATGTGATGTTAATTTCGTACAACCACATACGAAATACCGCTCTGTAGGGATCAAGTATACTTACATTACCAACAAAGCATTCTGTTGAATTCTTTGTGGTTATTTACGTAAATGAGAAAACCGAGTCTCTCGAAACTTCGCGCGCGAAACACGACTTCTTGTAAGGAAAATCGAACTCTCGACCGAATAGGAGATTTAATAATTTTGATCATATTGATACTCAACATGATTTGTTTTAAAATAGTCTTAAAATGTATTTAGAAGAAAAAATTGCCTACAACCTGTATTTACGGGCCAGAAGACTGTGTCACCTGCAAGCGTATAGGAAGGAAAAATGAAAAGATGAAAAATAACAATACCACAGGACAGAACAACTTTCAGCATGTTTCAGGAAGTTGCCTTTGAAAAATTCCAGATAAAAGAAAACAGTTAAATTAATAATCCTCCTTCATTTCCCAAGCATTCAGCTGACAAATTTTTAATGAGCAAAAACAGCAAAGATATGTTTACAAAACCAAACGTGCCCACCCAGATTCAACGCAAAGCATCCGAAGTGCTTTGTTGTCGGTGCCTTGAGGATTTTAATGATTAAAAGAAACGCTTATTGTGAAACGTACGTGGTAGCAGACAAATGTCCCATCAATGATATAAATACCCCTGTCGGACGCGTAAAATTCAGTCCACTTCTCATACGGTTTGATAACGACTGTGTTAGTCAGTTTGACACCTTCCTTGCGGTAAGTATTTTCTAAATGTTCATTAACAAGTCACCTAAGTTGTGATGTAAATATAAGTTCCAAAAATGTTCCTAACATGGCCTTCCACAAAAATATTCAAAAGGCCATCGATTCTTGTATTCTTGTTCTCTAGGGTGTAATGTTGGTCTTACTCATACGCAAAGAAGTGCAAACGCGTTCTTAGCTCTCAACCATGTCAGTGAAATATCACCATTACGTCTATATAATAGATGGTCGTATTAGAATCTTATGATGATTTTGTTATCTATAGCTCATACTATACTAGAATAGAACTTAAATAAGTAATTCAGTTGCTCTGTCGGTAGGGTTCTTTTTTGTAGTCTTTACCCAAGGTTTAATATTGATCGTTCCAACGTCAAAGTGAGTTAACTACCGCTTCGTGTATTATTATTCTCCTTTCAAGAAAAGCAAACTGTCAATTTATTTTTCCTTTCATCTTTTATTATAAAACATTCAAAAAGGCAATCGATTTTTTGTTATCTTTCGGTTAATTGGTACCCACTGTAGGTTGTAATTGTGGCCTTAATCCTGCAAATAGATGTACACCTTCATTCCACTGCTAAGCAATAGTGTCATTATAGATAAAATTATTTCTTCGACTCTTAAGCATGTGAAGTACTGTTGTCAGTATTTCAGGTATTTGGTGGTTTAGATAGCAAGTGGTCACATGAAAAGTAACATGGTCTCCAACAGTTCCTCACACTTTAGTTTTAAGCAAAACGTTGGTCAGGAACAGATTTTCCTTGTTTAATTATATTCTCTTACAGTCATAATGTGAAGGGTTGGACTCAGCTATTTGGGAAAGCCAATCGCTTAGACTGCCGATAAAACGGTTTGCGGACTGTACGTATGGATTCTCTTTTTCAGAGTCGATAAGTGAATGTGGTTGAATTCGATGTCTGCCAATTGGTGTCCCTAAAAAAAAAATGCATGACTCTACGGTGTTATCTAAATCTTTCTCGTAAAGCGTGTTTTGTCTGTCCGATGTCTGACTCGGCTGGTGTATTTGAGGTGCTCTTACATAGGCGACATGTAAATAAGATTTTTGGATGGGGCACAAGTGATCGTCTGCTTCGTGAGGTGGATTTGTCCTGTGTTTTTACAGTAAATGGTCGTGATAAAAAACCGTCATAAATGAAGGGGCAAGTTTCGCATTCCTTGGAGCTGCCTTTTCTTATCGTAGATACAGTAGGAAACACAAGGAGCATGAACAGAGAATTACTTCAATAATTCGTTTATTTTAATAGACTAAGTCTGTTTACGGTGAAATGGTCTAGGTAACTTTTGTTTTCAACACAGGCCTAAATGAAATCAACTCAGTATAAGTCAAACCAGTTGAGGAAACCGACTGAGAAAACGAATCATGAAGATCATGTAAAGGAGACTGGGATTGTTTCTTTGAAGCTATGTGGTCCTGTTGGGCTGGGTTCTTCAAAGCTGGGTTAAAATAAAGCAGGGTTAGTGCGAAATTTGAATTCAGATACGAAAGCTTAAAAAGCAAATCCAGTGTAATTTTTTTGTCTACAATTTGATGATTGGATGCTCTAGAAAGAATAGAGAAGATTATCCGAGAAAATGCTTTTGAGAAAAAGAAACCCGGACTAAAATTTAACCGCGGGTTAGCTCTACCGGCACTCCAACAACTGGGCCTAGGCGAAGAACGCTTTTTTTGCAGTTTTTAGACCGGTATGTTATGAGAAGTGTGGTTCTCATGAAGTTTGATCCCACATTCTTTTCTTGTTCCCTTCATGACAATTTCAACTGAATTAGTTAATCTTAAATGATTTAAAATTGTTTGCGTACTGTTTGTCATTCCTCTTATTATAAAGCACTTGTGAAGAGAGGTTTTAAAAAAGTTTGCTTATGAATCTCTTAGCGTTTAACGATTTTTTTCTGTTGTCTCTTCTTATTCCCCACAGGAAAAAAAGATGAAATTTCTTGGTTGCTGCCATTTTCTCCTTCTTTTTATTCCGTTCGCTTCCTTAGAGACCTTCTCAAGTAGCTCCTCCTCCGAGCCTTCGTCCGGCTTTCAGGAAACCTTCGAGAAACGTTGTCCACCTGGCCTTTGGTGTGGTAAAAAGCGACAAGTAACCGAGGAAGAAACAAAGGCGTCCCAATATGATGAAAACCAGCACCCCGACGGAAAAATCCTTGATAGCAACTTAGCTGCAAAGACGAAAACACAGTTCAAGAACCCAAACGAACAAAGAAAACAGCAGGTGAATGTTTTCGAGAAGCGCTGTCCTCCAGGTCTTTGGTGCGGAAGGAAAAGAGAGGCTAAAGATCTTAGTAGCAGTAAATCAACTGAGAGAGTAAAAGTGGACAACATGGCGTACCAGTTTGAGAAGCGTTGCCCCCCTGGGTTGTGGTGTGGCAAAAAGCGCGAGGTATCTGATCAAAATCTAAACAACGCTCCAACAACTGAAGACATAAACAGGCAAACGCGAATCAAGACCTTCGAAAAGCGCTGCCCACCTGGTCTGTGGTGTGGAAAGAAGAGAGAGGTGGCAGATGTTGTCAGTAATAGAAAATCAACTGAGACTGGAGACGTAAACAACATGGCAGGCCGTTTTGAAAAGCGCTGTCCTCCTGGGCTGTGGTGCGGTAAGAAGCGCGAGGTATCCGATCAAATTTTAAAAAACGCCGAACACACGGAAGACATGAACGAGCAAACGCCAATCAAAAGTTTTGAAAAGCGCTGTCCACCCGGTCTATGGTGCGGAAAGTAATGACGTTGATAATCTAGCAGCTATGATAGCTAATAGATCTGTAATTAATTTAGTTACGGGTAAATGATAATCAGTAATATTGGAAGATATTGTTCAATTAAAATAAAAGTAGTTACATTTTTCAATGTGATTTTTCAAGCTATCTTACGCTTACAAGAAAAGGCTGTGGATTTAAAGGGGAGGGGTGGTATACAGTGTAGTTTACATCAGTGACGCGACTTGACCGCGGGAGGCCTGTGGTTTAGCTGGTAGAGCGCTGTAAGCCAAGTCATCAGAATGCATGGCGAAAAGGATCATTCACTTTCTACTTTCAGTAGCTAAACTTCCTCTGCAGGATAACAGAGCTTAGTACTCCCAACAAACCAGTGATTTTCGTTCTCGATTTTAAAGGTATCTGGAGGGAAAATAACGTCGTAAGATAAACAAAAGTTTGACCCTAAACTGATGACTTTCAAAACAAAGGAATGATTTTGAGGAGATGAATGAATTGTGAAAAATTATTTGAAAAGGCAATTGTGGGCTGATGTTCGAATTTTCAGCCATTTCTAGAAAACTAACCGAGTATTAAAGTGTCAATGCTATATCTTACAAATTAACTGACCTTTACATTTGATTTTTAGTCTCGCTTGCGTAAACAGCGAGACTATATACGAAGAAAAACGGCTTGCAGATTATGAGGACACAAAAGGGAAATCATGGTCCCAGGCGTTCTTAGCGGGACGGTGGAAACTGGGAATAAGAATCGTTGGGCGACCGAAGCCACACATGTTTTGCGAAGAAGGCTTAGGAAAGATTAAATTTAGAGCTTTTCCAGAACAGGTCGGTCCACGAATTCTATCGCTTGAAAGTGTTGATTAAATTAGAACAAGTGAGCACTACTCACTGGTGGAAAAAGAAAAATAAGAATCTTAATTAGAAAAACTGCGATGGTCGGGTGTTGTAAACTTTCATTGTATGCAAATGGTCCTGTAATGAGCATGCACTTTATTTTCGGCAATGATTGAAATGACGTGCCATGTAAATCACTTTTTTGATATCTGGCAATGATGAGATTTCTCTGGAATCGATTCCCTTGAATTTTCGTGTATTTGTACAAGCGTATAGCCTGCGACCACAGACGTGTTTCTGGTCGTCGCTAACATGCGTACTAAATCAATTCAAAAACAAATAAAACGTAAATATCCTGAAGTATACTCGAACGTCGATAAAGTAGGAAGTGAAGCGATTAAATCCTGTTTCGTGTAGAATTAATCACCTCCTCATTAATATCTCGATCTAATCTCAAAGCAAGCGAGACTTACCGCTGCGTTCTTGTATACTTAAATCCACCGGAGGTCGATTGCAACATTATCCACTCAACAAAGAAACTTGATACCAAGCAACTTTGATTGCTATGCTTCACATACTTTTTCACAGAGATGAGGTAGTAAAAAAATGCAAAAACACTTAATACCTTATCTGAGGATTGACGAAATGCGAAAAAATAGTGATGAGAGAAGAGGGATACTCTAGTCTTCAGATGGACTGAAACTAATTTACGCTACTACAGAAATAGATTCCGAGGCGATTTTCTACCACTTTTATAGGTGGTTCGGATGAAAATCGCCCATCCCATAATATTCTTAACAGTGCGACAAATAAGCGTGCCTCAGTTGACATGCAAATAAACGATGGAACAAAGAATTGACCCTGGGGGACACCCTGGGGTGAAAATTTCAGGGCTACAAATAACTCATTATAAAATCCCACTAAACGTTAGCGTTAGGGAATAAGTTTAAAAAAGGAGCCTTAGTAATGAGAACCAGGTAGAAAAAAGAATCGTTTTACTTCAGTGGGATTCGATATCACCCGGCTACCTTCGGGTTGTTTAGATCTATCGTCCGAAAGTGGGTTTTTTGGTTATTTTCAAAACTAATTTTCACGTCAGATTTAACTCTCTGCTCTACCATTTGTTTCACATTGCTACTTAGCACGACAACGTTGTATATGATCCTTTCATAGCTGGCGTCTTCCCTTACTATGTTCATTTACACATAACTTCCATCACATCACCCTGTAATTTCATTTAATGGCCAAGATTTCATTTACTTTTCACTCTTACCAGAAGGAAAACAAAATTATTAGATAATTCAAAAAATAACTGTGTACAATGGGTAAACCTTGGAAGATGGTCACAAACTTTATTCATCAGTCAAATTTGTTTTGTGTGGGCATGTCATTTTCGGAGACATCTGCAAGATCGAGTCGGGGACAATATGAAATGGAATTCACTCAGAGCGCGCGGTGAATTAAGAAAACAAGAGCCTTATAATCTTTAATCTGTTAAAATTATGTGTAGGCTTTTACCATTTTCAAAAGTGTCAGCATAAATCCTATTCAGGTAACGGGGATCTCGTAGTAAGATTAATGCCAAGTGAATTGAAGGTCCTGGTTAACATTTCAAGCGCCGATCGAGTATTCTTAATTAATACAAAAGAAATATTTACATCTCCTTCACATTTGATCTGTTGGCATGTTGAAAACTGAGTTTTGAGGGAATCAGTTGTTGGATACAGCAATTACCTGGACCTGATAACATTCCTCTTCCCGTAGCTTTAACATTTTCGGCCGTAGGAGGCAGGGGTGTAATGCTACTACTGTACAAGATTGTAATATAACTGACTTGTTACTGTCTCTGAAACAACGCTGGTTACGGCAGAGCTTGCAATATTCCTAACACTTGCTTCATTGAATCAGCCTACTTCACCGATTTACAAAATTACCTTAAAAGAGTAAAGAACATCACGTTTCCCATTTGTAATTATTCGATCCCAGCCTTTTATAGCAATCGGCCTTTCAAATTTTGCTGTGAAAGGACAAAACAACACAAGTAGCCGTAACAAAGGTTTTACAGGGGTCAAAAACAACGTTTCTTAGAAAATGTTCATTTTCGTTTATTTGGTGTTATCCAGCCCCACAAAAATTCGTTTAGAATTAGAACGGAGAAACCAAAAAAATAAACCAACGGTTTTGAGAGTAACTTCATAATATGGATTATAAACAAAAGAAAGTTCAAATTAACGCTCTTTGTTTCTCTTAACGAGTCAGAATGTAAATAATTATGCATTAGCCTCAAAAACATAATTACTACTTGTTTTGCCTTTTCGCTAAAATTTACAAAGAGATTAACAACGCGACAATTTTCTCTTCGTTGAGGACGCGGTGAAAACCCTCACCTTTTAACGTGGGTAATAAAAAGATTATATTTTCTTTGCCAGAAATTATTTTCCAAAAGTCAATTTTTCACCCTTGAAACCAAAGTAAATCTATGTCGCCGAAAAACCTTGACAAACCGTTACTTTTTCTCCCCTGAGTAATAAATCATTTAACTGCTTCCAGCAGAAAGGAGAAATATGGTCTTTGTCTCACCAGGGATAAATTCACCTGCACCTCAACTTTGCAAAGACAATTGATTTAAGTTACAAAAACAAACTGTCCAAAGAGTTCTTCCGAAAGAATCAGAACGTGTTTTTATTGTTGGTTTCCTTCCTTCCTTTTCTGTCAGACTCCATGAATATTCTTCACCTGAAGTACTTCAGGTACGTTAACTTCCTTTCAAACCACCTTAAGCAGCAGATTATCCTAATATCATCCTACTCACTTTTTCTTCTCTTATCACACCCCCGGGATCACACCACTCAGAAGGGCTTGGCGTTAAAATTTAATTAAGTGAAGTTCGAATTAGTGATTATTACTTGTTCCAATTTACGTCAAAAGTGTAATCGAATAATCTATTAGCTAGCGGGAAATAATTGTAGCGATGTTCTAAATGGCTTTGACAAGTAAGCATGCCTGCTCTAAAAAATAAAGAAAAGAAACTGTTTTGTTCAACAGTGTGATTTGGCTGTTTTTCAAGAATGGACAAACGAGTTAATTGTTCGATTATGCCTTTTCAGTGCGATTTGGCACTTTAAGGTCCTATCTACGTTTGACCTTTGAGCCAAGGAAAATAAATAGTTAATTAAAAAGCCGAGAAACAGATTAGTGCAAAAGTTCCGCAAGTCAATGAAATTGAATATTTCAACAGTTCGACAAAACGTCTTATTGGTATTCCTTTTGAAAAACAATTGCAATACGCACTTCTGTGAATCCACATGGCTTTAACGAGGAGGGCAAGAAATCTCCTTTGGAGAAAAATAAACTTGTTATTGTTTTTGTTATCGCTGAATATTTGGCGCCAATTCCATTTCTCCTCTCACTTGCGGTTTCCTAAATCTTCAAGTTTAGAGGCTGAATTACGATTATCTAAGCCGGTCTGTTTACATTTGAGAAAAAGCTGAATCGTTTGGATTTAATCCATCAAAAGTGGGACGAGTCATGGGCACCACGAACAGTGACACAATGGTAAGCAGGTGATAATCAAGTAATTAAACAGTTTGGCGTTTTCCGGAATGCTTTGGGTATAAAGGAAACCAATTTACACCACTGGTTGCAACAAACGTCTCTGAACGTTTGTAGAGAAAAGATCCAATATACCTTTTTGAATCGGAAACCCCGGATTTTTCGAGAAGCTTGGCTTCGAATAAGGAAAACAACTGGTTTTGGAGATGTCGGTAGTCTTATCTTGCGCAATGGCTGCGTACATCACAGGAATGTCCATGTTAATTCTATCCGTTTTACAATTTGGCGAGACGAGGAAGGTGGATAGTGGAGAATTCAAAATCCAAAAGGATTTTGTGCCACCACCGGGTAATCGGGGTTCAGGCGAAAATTCTAATCTCATCCAACGAATGGAAAGCGCGGCATGCCTGAAGGGGATTCGACCACATCGAAAGTGTGTTCAAGAAGAAGTAGAGAAGAGCCTAGATGCAAACAATCCTCATGGGTATTTGGAAAATGTAAATATCAGAAACACGATCCAAGTAAAGACTTTCAAGCAAGGTCATTTCCAAGCAGGTGCTCCTTCAAAAAAAAAGTCTCCAGCGATACATCCGGGTGGCTCCAATCAAATTTGGAGGAAAAAGGTACAAAAATCTCCATGCTCCGCTGAAAATCGCGGCTGTGAGTGGCGTGAAGACTCTCAGGTCACTTACCGCTGTCCCTTTGGCTTGTGGTGTCCTAAGAGTAAAAATAATGAGGCAGTTACCAACCAAGAAAAGATACGATTGATAGCTGACACTTCGTCTTTGTCTAGGCGAGAGCAGGCCACATCTATAGCCACCAGGAACCAAGCAATTCATAACAATGGTGTTAACAGGGCAAAAGTAAAAAAGGAAACAACAAGCATTGATGGCTTCTTAAAAAGAGCCAGGGAATGTCCTTTTGGTCTGTGGTGTATGGAAGACGACAATAACAACGAGAAAGAAAAAGACCAAACAAAAATGAAAGGGGATCTAAAGAACGATCATGATCATAAGAAACCAGTTTGTACACAAGGTGTCGGCTGCATGAAAAGTAAAGCCAATGACGCTGAAGCTTCAACAAAGTTGAATGAAAATCAAGTTGAAGCAAAGTGTCCTATTGGGCTATGGTGTTTGAATAAACGTGAACTTGGCTACGAAAGTTCGTTGACCTTGGAAAAATGTCCACCTGGATTGTGGTGTAAGAGAAATAACAACATGATTACTAGAAGTGAAGAACCAAAGCGAGTTAACCAACAGGCCAGGAAAGAGGCATGCCCAAGAGGCCTTCACTGTTCGTTTCAAAGAGAAGCTGGTTTTGAAAAATTGAGCCACTGCCCTCCAGGATTATGGTGCAAACGAGAGGAAGTCAAAAGAGAAAATTCCAAAGAATCGAGAGTCCACAAAGAATTTTGTCCAACTGGGTTAAGCTGCTCTTTTAAGAGGAAAGTGGGATATGAAAGTTCTGTGACAATGCTTAACTGCCCACCAGGTCGGTGGTGTAAGAAGGACATGACTGTCACCAATGATGATACAACTGAATCGATTTGTCCAAGTGGATATGAGTGTTCTAGTAAGAGACTCGCGCACTACAAGAATTCTGATGAATGTCCTCCTGGGTTATGGTGCAAACGTAGAACTGCAGTTGGCGCCGACAGAATTATCAATAAGTACTGCTCTACTGGTCCTTGGTGCGATCTAAAACTAGCTGTGGACAACACAGTTGCGCGCCGAATGTTTAATGACGAGAAATGTTCGCCAGGTTTGAGTTGTAAATGATCATAACGAAAATGACGCATGCTATGCCTGCTAACCGAAGAGACGGACGACAATAAAAACTATTTTATAGAAGGCCGACGCAATAAAGATTATTCAGCAAGTGATTTTGAAAGATAAAATTCCAAGTCAGAATAACTCTCCTCGGCAACAATGCAAGGCAGTGGCGATTAGAACATTGAAACATCTCTGTCTTATAATATACCCTCTAAATATAGGAACTTGGAAGTTTCATGAACCGTCAGCTGTTCTAACTGCTACTTTTACTTGCCACTTATGAACCTATGAGTAATTCATCTTAGAATTGTATGAGAACATTTCAACCACATGTAAGTATATATGTTTTAAATCACGATTTTTGCTTACGAGGAGCATGTTACGTTGCTGATTGTTTGTTTGATCCATGAAAAAGTCGAGTTCTCTAGCTGGGTAATTTTATAGCTGTTAAGCTGATAAAAAAATACTTATGAAGTGACATAAATCAAAACACTGAGTAAATATATTATCCTGTATATCAAACACAATTGTCTTTGTCTTGAATGCCCCTTCGATGAAGTAAATTCACTCAGCCAGGCCATACGTTAAGGAAGCTTACAACAAGTTTTTTCTTTCATTTAACCGAATATTCACACGCTGGGTGCGAAAAAATTATGTTCGATATAAGAAACTTTTTGGAATTAATTTTTAACTGCGTTCTATTGGTTACTTGGCTAAACTCGGTAAATGGTTTCGGAAGGACAATTGAATAAAAATCGAACAAGCGAGCCAACCATGAAGTAATTTGTTTATTTGACGTTTTTTTTTTTAACTTTTATTTACAGCCAAAGAGCAATAAGCTTATTAATTTCGCAATCAATTTCAATTTATAACTTATTTCAAAATGATTAAAAAATCCCAGCAAAGTAACAAAATTAAAGGAAATAAGATTGTCTTACAGTCCCTTTTACCTTTGTTTTCATGGCTTTGCCATGCCTTATTTTTTTCCTCTTTTATAAAAGCAACTGAACACTTGGTTCATTTCCTTATCTTTTTCCACGTGAGACGCTTTTGACTGTTTTGACGTTATGCTAATTTTTCCAAAATAATGTGCACTATACATACCTCCATGAATAGTACATTTTAGTTTGAATTTATCGCATTTTTTGAATGTAAAACATTGACAATACTCACACTGAAATGTACTAGTCATGGATATATGTATTTGGAAAAATTAGCATAACGTCAAAACAGTGAATGTTGTAGCGCGGATTTTTGACAGGTTCGTAGGATAGGTTTGCCTTGAAGTGTTGCAGTGAATCAATCTTCATGAAAATTTCAGACATTATTATGAAGATTATGAAGATTATGTGAAGAGATTTTTAAAAAATTCGTTCGAGTCGTTTCACAAGTATACGAAAAAGCGCTAAAAGTCACAACTCTAAATGAAGTTGCGCTTAGACAGGTGGTGAGAAAACGGGTTAGTTTTTAAGATCGCAAGAACGAAAGTACACCAAAATTTCCTAGCATGGAAATATGATATTAAGCAGCATTCTGACGCTACTTATTCATTTATAACGTTTTCATTAAATAATCTATCACGGCTATTGAAAATTTAAGGTTTGAAATATATTTTCGTTTTAGTCGGGTTCAAACATACAGAATTTTTTACTTCTTACGGAGGTTATTTGCTTAACACTAAACTTTAAGTTCCTAGTGTTGGATTTTCAGTAGCTAGTCTAGATCGCGCAAAATAGGCATTTATCAATTTCAAAGTTTTTTGTTTATTGTTGTCATAGTAATATCGATTTTACTGAAACCTACATTTTGACAATTTCCAATCTATAGTCAATCATCGGTGAAAATTTTATAGCGATCCGACAAGGATGAAATCACTTTTAAAGCGATTGAAAAATATCGGTATGGCCTCTGAAAAACTATTAATATCGAAACACCTTCAATCCGTAATTCCTCATCTCAAACACTGTTCAAAACTGCTCCTTAAAGAACACTATTGTCCTCCCTTTGAACAGGGGAATTTCTTCTCGTGAAGTCTTGATTCGTTCCACGACTTCAGAAATTGTTTAAGAAAAATAAAATTCTGTTGAGGTTTCTCTTTTTCCTTTGAATCTCGATAAATTCTCTGAATGAATTTATGAAAGAGCTTTGACTGGGAAAATTTTGGTTCATTTTGGGTAGTTCATGGTCGCTTGTGGGACGGCTTAGCTGATACTTTTCCTGTCCTTTTTGTAAATATAATTATATGAGTAACCAGTTTCAAGGAGAAAGTTATTTACCCTAGAAAAAATTGTTTTATTGTGTTTGAACTGTCAAAATTTTTATGCTGAACAAGTGATCGATATCCAAGTTAGTGGAAAAGAAAAATAAAATTTTACCGCTAAGAGCATAAGCTAAGAAAGGATTTTCAGTGACACCTGATCAGAAGAAGCACCTGCTCGGTTCACTCCGGTGATTATGTATGCAAATCTTTAATGGTGCATAAATTGAGGGGCTTTTTAATGAAGCCGGAAGATTCGTATTTAACCATGATACCTACTACTTTCATTTAGTCGAATGGAGGCTAACGCTGTAAATCAAAATAAAACTTTTCTCGAGACTCATGTACCTTGAATATTTGATCAGAATAACCGATTAAAAAGTAACTGTTGACGTCGCAGATTTGAAAAGCTAAACCAGAGGAGCTTAACTATTTCTTCGGACAGAACATTGATTTTATATTCCATTGACAAAACGAAAATAGCTCTTTCTTAGAAAGGAGAACAGAGCCCACATAAATTGACCGAATAAAATGAGAAACCTGAAAGTTCTTTAAAACCATCACCAGAAAATTACTCATAGTTTATAGGGAAATTATTAGCAGCGATAAAAAACCAAAAACCCTTTTTTAGAGAAAGAAAGCTGCTTTGGTTTGACAGGTGAATGATAATCTTTGTCTTCTCGGTCCCTGATTCGAACGGATTTTACTGTATGTTATCACCAAGAAGTCGTCATTACAGAGATAAAAATCCCAAAGAATTTAAATCGAAATTTTGCACAATTCTGCAACGTAGTACTAAGTAAGTGTTAAGATAGCTATCCTTTTCAATTAAAACTGCGCGCCGAGGTGACGATGGTAGATAAATAAATAATTTTAACAGTTGATAAATTAATGTTTCAAAAAGTTAGTTTTTGATCGCAAAGTCCATCAATCGTTTTTTTAACACTTTCAGGTCGCCGATATTTTTTCTTATTACTCGTTAGGTTCTCGTTAAGTGTCGGCATCGCGCGACTCACATTCGTTGTCTTTTCTTTCCATTGCCACAATATTAACAAACTGATCCTCAATGATTGCTTTAGTGTCTTTAACATTTCCTACAAAGTACACATCAAGATGCTTGGGGTAATGCTGGTGATCTCCGTCGTAGACAGTAGGATGTACTCGCGAACGAAATGATTTTCTACAAAACAGAACAAAGCAGGAACTGTTGGTATTGGAAGTATAAACGAATGAATCTCGCGCATTATCAGATTTAGAGCTTCCTCCACAAATTGAACACCGAAACGTTTCTTGTAGATAGCTCAAGATCATTCTGTTTCTGAATATGTAAATAGCAGGGAAAAGAGACCGTTTAAGAGAGAAAATGAAATAGATGGCGAAACCAGCCTTGAAATCAGTTAGTGGTTTTCCCGTCACAATAGAGTAAAAGGTGACCGCTAAGTAAGGCAATGTACAAAACAGGAACATAGTAAAGAGGATGATAGCTGTTTTCGATGAACGCTTGTATGCATCTACGGCGAACTTTTCAGCACTGCTGTTGCGGGAAATGTAACTGTTCTCTAAATTAACTTTGCGGCTACTTCGCACAGAGTTTAGAATACGAAGAAATACATAGTAGATACTGAAAATCGGCAGGACCAAATGACTTATCTTAAAGATGATGTTGATAGTTCGTGGTGTGATTTCAGGTTCGTAAATATGAGGAAAATACGAATGACACCTTTCTTTGCAGTTCTCTCCCGACAAGCACCAGGGAATTGCGGAAATAAGTGCTTGCAACCACGGCCATGAAACAATGATTCGTGCTCGTTTTCTCGTGATTTTTCGTCGAAGTCCTTTGACCAATGTTATGAACCGATCTAACGCAATTCCACACATGTTTAGAAGAGCTGCAACTATGAAAAAATCTCCAAACGAAAGCATCAGCCGACAGAAAACAAAATTGGAATTATAAAGGTCTTTTTTAGCAAGAAAAGCAATCCAATATGGCGTGTCTGCTACCGCAGATAGCATATCGGAGATGCACAAGCTGACCACTAGTGTGTTAGTGACAGTTCGCATTTTAAAATTGCGGCAGTAAGTGAGAACGATGAAAAAGTTTCCCAAGATGGCGAGGCTGATATTTAGAATCATGAGGCTACCTCTGGCAGGTGCGTCAAGATCGCCGATGAAACCTTCCTTCTCTTCGGTGATGCGCCGCTTCTGAAAAGTAGAAACATTAAGCGTCGAATTAAAATTCATTCTTTGGATCGGTATTTTCAGATTCAGCCGATTTAAAAGTATGTCATTGCCTCTTGGCGTATACGTGACTGTAAGCTAGGAGCGACATGATGGCGGCCGCGCGACAGGTAATATTTTCCTCGAAACTTTGAAGCAGATATTGGTGGCAATCAATCGTTGGCAACTGGAAACTGGTTGAAATTGTCACGGTCTCAAACTTCCTGACCCAGACTGAAACAGGCAACTTAAAAAGAGACAAACGAGTTTGAATATTTCGAAATACTCTGCTTGATGTGATCATTTGTTTTACTAAAATACGAAAACATCACTTAACAGAAAGGTTGAGTAAACATTAATAAAGCTGTTGTCCAATACGCATGCGTTTCACCACATCTTTTGACGTCTTTTGGGGACTTTGTTTACTTTTCCGAGAAATGGTAGAAAAACAATTCTTTTTTTTTTTCGCTTTAGCTTACACTCGTTTAGAACTTGCTTTATTTTTGAAAACCATAATAAAGTACAGAGTGGATAGAAATATTAAACTTTATCTACGACTAATTCTTTTCAGTGACATGATTTAAAGGTTAATTCACAATTTCACAGAAGAGAAATTTGAAGTCGCTGGTGATTGAATATACCAACTAATCACACCAAGTTGAATTTAATGTGCACATCTGATAACCTCACACGATAACAATTTTCCTTAAAAGACCTTGCAAGTTTGTCATTTTAGCCTAAAACAAAACTGTACATTATGAAGCTTAGCATTTATCTAGAGTGAGTTCAGTGCTCATTGGCACAGAGCTGCCGGAAGCTTTGCAAAATTTGTTTGCCTTGTTTCCATTCGATGTTTGATAGGGAGGAACTGATCAAGCTTAGGCAACTTTGACTGCAAATTCAAAACTGAAATATTTGTTGCTAGGGTAACCAGGGCAATAAAGAGATCGCTGATATCTATTGGTATGAAACATTAAAACATATTTAAGGCAAACATTATTTTTAACCTTTGCTCAAAATTTTAAGACAGTTTTTGTCATTTATTTTTCTTGGCATTCCGATTTCGCGTTGTT